GGAAGATCGGCTTCGTCTTCAACATTTTGAATGTGATATCACAACGCATTGTGAATATGGCCTCTCTTGAGGCACAGTTTTTGATATACCGGACCAACAACGTCCGGAGCCGTTTCTTGTCACTGCATGGTGGCGAGGTTACTTGAGATCTGCGAATGAGGGGGAAAAATACCTCGAGCATGCGCCCATGAAAATGCCAATGGCTCCATAGCGGCAAATCAAGGTGTAAATGCGAGAGGGTTCAACAATAAACGAGCAGCATCAGGATCAGGGTGCAGTGGGGATCCCTGTAGTCTTGTCTTGATGGACAGACTCCCTCCGAAAGAGCCTGTCTTGAAAAATGCTGTAAACAAAAGGTCTGACCCACCATGCATTATCGATTGGCTTTGATTGAATAATAGCACTTTTGCTACCTGTTGCGTTGCAGGTAATGGTAAGTTGTCTTTGAGCTCTTGATGCCATTCGAGATTGAATTGCAGGCAAGCAACCTCAAGCGCAGCAGTAGGAGCACAGCAGCACCTTTTTGTGAAGAGCTGCAGACTGAGTGACAGTTATGTCTCAACATAGTGGTCAAAGTAACGCTACTCGGATTGGATGTTCTGAGTTGCTACGTTAGATAGCCAAGCAAAAACTTGAGACCTACAGGAGCCAACCAGCGAGAAACTTTGGCCGATGGTCTGCAGTAGTCTGCAGGACAATAACTATTGCCGAAACTGTCGAGCTGCGTTGCGCCGCGTAGAACTTGACTCGACCTTAGACCAACAGATGCTGGCTGATAACTAGGAGTTGATTGAAGGCTCCTAACAGGACAGACGTGCGTATAATATCCACATGCTGGAGCGCACGCGCCAGCCTCTGTGAGCCTAGATCACAAATGGTAAGGACTCGGGATCTGGCGAGCTTGATTTGTTTGTCCAATGTCGACTGAGCAACAATTACAATGGCTCTTCGCTGACAGTGGAGTCAATTCGATGAGAAACGAACGACTGACCCATTCTGCGCCAGAATGAACGGACGGGTCATTTTGCGGCTCATTATCGATCAGGAAGGACTGGGACAATGTACAGTCGACAAAGATGAACCAATTGGAGTATATCATGACCGACATGCCACTAGGCCTCGTTGCTGTCGATTTCCGCATGTGCACAAGCAAGGTGGTAGTGCTGAGCTATTTTTGCATTGGATGCAAGTTGAGCAGACCTTCTTCATGTCTGTAGTTCCCTCTTTTGGCTCAAACCAGTGATGTTCAGTTGGCCCCAGGAGCTGTGGCACCGTCTTGGCTGTCGTACATGATACTACCCGGAAGACCCTTGTGGTGCCTGTCTCAAGCAAAAACCAACAACAGGCCATGTGGGTTCGAGCATCGCGAAGAAGTAGCAGATCCGGGTATGGTGTGATTTTACGGGTTTAGTTACCATCTGCAATTGCGTACGACTCCTCCAGACTCTATGCCCGTATCTCAGCAAGGTGACTCCAGCGAGAACCAACCGCATAAAAGTGCATCTTCATCATGAGAGGGGCCTGTCCAATCTAAGAAACAGAATTCAGTAATTTGTTGGGGTAATAATGAAAAGGGACAGCCACAAACGGCCAGAAATTCTGCTTCCCCAAGCAGAACAGTCCAAAACGCAGCGGAGCAAAAGAAGGCTGTATTCTGATAGACAGCGTAGTGGCATATTGTACCAAGACCATCCATACAGTGACACCTGTCATATTACACCCAAGACTCGATATCTCAACAGATAGCAGCTAGCCACAGATCATCGGCTGTGGTGGTTGCACCGTGCACTGACTCTCAAAGCTGCCGATGCAGGTAACACAACCATAATGACTGGAAGAGAGAGACAAGGGCCCAGCGGAGATGATGCGGAAGCAGACTCTTGGCTTTTCTCGGAGTCTTTCAAAATGTAAATCTCATCAGCCAGCCGAAGCCGAAGAGGATCCGCAGCATTGCAACCCTGTCGCCTCTGTTTAGCTGCCGGGTTGGTCGATCTGCGGTTTTGTAGTGTCCGCTGGTCGGTTGTTTTCTCCAGGCCGGTTTCCTCCCCNNGGTAGGCAACGCAACGCGGCAGCCGTCTATGGGCGGAGCGGATCCAATCTCGACGACTCGAGAAGGCGAGAAAATGCGAAGTGATGTGATGATGCGTTTTCTCTGGCCACTTCATACATGCACTGTCCTCTCTGGTTGTCCTCTCATTGTCTCTTCCTGCGTGGATAGGGCACGGGAATCCTCTCTGCACCTCGAGCGACTTTATTACTTGACTCGGAGAAAGATATCCATGCTGATCCATGGCGGTTGATGTGGAGGTGCATGTTGGCGATAAAGAAAGTCGAAGAGAATTCGTAACATCGCAGCGGGATGTCTGAGGGTACCAGATTGTTATCTAGACGATGGGAGTGACATCTGAGTCATTATAGAGGTACCTCAGCACGATTTGGACGAAGCCACCAAGATGTCAATTATCAGCTAGGAAAATTAGAAGACGTAAGTTATGCAACCAGGAAAGGCACATAGGCAGGCGCATTACCTAGGTGCTGAGGTGGGTTCCCCACCATTTCTTCCCTCGACAACTAAGCTAACGTTGACCAGACAGGGACCTCGGATTTGAGGTTATCTGCACCTTCTGTACGGAGTACTGTACCACCACTTTCCTCCGGACTATCCATGATGATTCAACCTACAGGAGTCTGCCCAAAGGAAATAGAAACTCACTAGTGCTGCTCCTCCCCCATCTTGTCGATTACACTTACCTTGAGATCAAGATTGATCTTAGCATGGACCTTCCCTAGCTACCTCAGATGAGTTTATCTCATTGCCACGGAAGGAATCACCCGTCTTCCGCTCAGCTCCCTTGTACATTGTGTGATATCGCTTCTTCGACCTACATGCTGCGTCTTCTCCATACATACCTACGCTAACATCTCCATACTTCGTCCAGTAGCTGGCGCGCATCAGGGCCCAGTTCCTGCATTCAAGGATTCTTAGCCTGCACGTCCATGATATCCGATATCGAAGGCAGTCCTCCGTACCTCGTAAGCTCGCTGCCAATTGCCTCTCCGCTCAGTGGCCTTTGGTTGGCCAATGGATCAATGATCTTCTCCTCATCTGTCGATATGCAATCTCGAAATACATATACATACATAGCTGTATCCGGCCTCTCACAACTGCAGCAGCAGAAGCAGCGCTGCAATTTGCTCATTTGTCCAATGCATTCCACTGGATTCATTCTGAACCTCAGATGCAAGATGCAAGACAACCACCTCTTGCTTCTGATACGATGAGCCGGCTTGTCCCACCACAGGCGAGCGGCTAATGGACTGGCATATCTCCAAGTCAGGTTGTGCTTTATGCTTTATGTTGCAGATTGATGAGTCCCTAGATACATGCATACAGTATCCTAGTTCATGTCCAAGCCGCCTCCAGCTATTAACCCACTCCCCACCAGATCCTCACCTAGGTAATGCGATGCTGAATGGCTGTCTTGTTTTTGTCTTGGCTTCTTTGGACTTTACTCGCTCGCGCCAGCAGCAAAGAGATCCACACGCTAAACACGAACAAGGTCCCATGTCTCCTCTCCCGTCCGTAGCCATCGACGCCATCGAGGTTTGTGTGAACCCTGCACTTTGGACCCCAGAGGCAAAACAACGAAACGACAAGGCTCATGATGTGCGCCGCGGGCCGAGCAGCACTGGCCAAGTGCTATTCAGTACCTTGACATGGGCTACTACGGGCACGAGACGTGACTCTCATGCGCCAGCCCAGAATCGGCGCCACGATGATAGGGTCTTAAGTCAAGCGAACGGACATGCTGGAGTTTTCAGGCCAAGGCACTGAGGTGCCTAGCAGAAGATGCTAATGTCGACTCCACGCTTGCGAGCCTGCGCCCCCATGCCCTGTCCTGAATACAGTCGCAGTGCTCCATGTCTGCAATGTACAGTCACCCCGCTTGCTCAGTCGCTCCAGTATTTCTCGACAACTTGCAGGAGTAGCACGGAAATGGACAATGAGAAAAGACAGAAAATAAACCCGTACCGTTCTCGGTAGTAACGCGGCCGGGGTCGGCGTCGAATGAGACTCAAATGGCTCTCAGTAACACATCTCAAATAACGCGCGCCAGTCTCTTTTCTCTTTCCTGTGATCTCAATACACCCCCTCCTCCAATCCCAGGTGCGCTACTAATTAGCTACATAGTTGTGCCCTCTTTAATCCCCCAATTCGAGCCGCCGCCGCCGCCATACATGGCCCCTCCAACCCTCTCAAATCATCCAACCCCTCGCTCCCCACTGGTCCTGGTCCTAATGCAGTGAGCGCAAGACCAATACACCCCTGCTGTCTTGTCCGTTGTCCAGAACAAGATCAAATCTCGACAGACCTTGCGCGCTTGTCTCTACGTACATAGTTGCCGCCCTACCAGTGCCACCACGACTAGGTACACACTACGATGGCCCACGACCTCATCAAGGACCCTCACTACTCCATGTTCATGCATGGTCCGTTTTAGAGACGGGGTTTGGCTTAGGTATATATCATAGACCCGTTCCCCGTCTTCAACCCAGGCTGTTATCATCGCCACTACCTCTTTTCCTCCTCCTCGCCCTTCTTCTACCGGCCAATTCCTCTTGTCATGGCCATCTTTGAATAATTTCCTTTCCCGTCATTGTATATTATCCCGGTGCCTCGAGTCTTGCAACGGTGCGACTGTGTCTCTCGTGCATAGTGTGTTTGCTTTGATACTTCCAGCGTCTCTGATTCACTTTCACCACAACACAATCATCTTGGACGGTCAACCACTATCAATTCCAGATTACGAGACACAGAGTCCTGTTTTGAAATCACTTACAAACCCCTCCTCGCCCTTACTCTTTCGAATCTCTACCCTCGTTGTGCAGTACCCATCAACAGCCGTGTATCACAAGAACATCTCTGCCCATCGCGGCATCAACAGCACCTTCTTCCATCTACCAACCTCATTGGATTTCGACACTTTAACAGCTTCAGCATGTCTGAATCTGAGATTCACAGTATTGGACGCAGCCATCTTCCTGGCCTTGCTGGGTTATTAGCACTGCCAATGCCCTCTTTCAACTTTTGGTATTCAACTACCTTTTGGCTGTACCTTTTTGTAGGCCTTTGGTAAGTCATCTTCAATATCTTAAGATGGAAACCTCGTTTCTCAACAAGAAGGCTTTGATAAAGCCATAAGTCTCTTCCTGGACAACCAGTTCTGACATGATCTCAGGGTTCATCGCTATCTCCGTCTTCTAGTTCATTGCGTCAGCCATTGGACATATAAGTCGAAGCCCATCCCCAGCAAACCGACATTCACGAGTAAGGATGTGACTGTGGTTATCCCAACCATTCACAATGCTTTCGAGGAGCTGCGCCCTTCTATTGAGAGCATTCTCGCTTGTGAGCCTGCCGAGCTGATTCTGGTCACAACGCATGATAAGCGAAAAGACCTCCAGCGCCTGGCAGACTCCCTGGTTTTCCCCAAAGTCCGTGTTCTAGATACTCCTATTGCCAACAAGCGCCTGCAGGTGTGTGAGGCGCTCCCCAAGGTCGAGACTCCCATCACTATCATGGCGGACGATGATGTGACCTGGCCCTCGACTCTTATGCCCTGGATCCTCGCTCCATTTGAAGACCCTCAAATCGGCGGTGTAGGAACTTGTCAACGAGTACGACGGGAGCATGATGGCTCTTGGTCAACCAAGGCCTGGAACTGGCTGGGTGCAGCTTACATCGAGCGGCGAAATTTTGAGATATCAGCCACCCACAACATCGATGGTGGCACCTCATGCATGTCTGGCCGTACCGGCGCCTACCGCTCTGAAATCCTCTCTAGTCATGACTTTCTCCACGGCTTCAAGAACGAGAAGTGGAGAAAGTGGATTTTGAATGCTGACGACGACAACTTTGTGACTCGTTGGCTGGTAAGCCACCAATGGAAGACATGGATCCAGTACGACAAGGAGTGTGAGATCGAGACAACTTTGGAGAACAGCACCAAATTCTTGTACCAATGCTCTCGTTGGGCCCGAAGCAACTGGCGAAGCAACTGGACCAGCATGGTCACTGAACGCTACATTTGGAAGTGAGTAAAAAGAATTATCCGTGTAAAAGTTGTTTGACCTAACAAGAAACAGGCAACAGTTGTGGTGCACATATGCTCTTCACTTCGCGACTTTTACTTCGCTGGCCTTTGTCGTTGATCCGCTTCTCTTAGCTTCATGCTGGTGGGGAACAGCGGACTGGGATATCAAGAATCGCCAATACGCGTTCTGGACTCAGTTTATCTTCATGTTCGCGTTCACCAAGGTAGTCAAGCTGATGGGTCTGTTTATTCGAAACCCAAGCGATATCATGTTCTTGCCTGTTTCCGTCATATTTGGATATTTCCACGGATTGATCAAGCTGTACGCCCTGATCACTTTGAATATGGTACGTTGCGATAAACCAGAGCCAAAGCAATCAACTAACCATCCGTTTTTTAGACTTCTTGGGGTAGCCGAGCGGATGGAGATGCAAACGATGAGCAGCGACTTGCTCCCGCCCCGCAGCCTTCAATCGTTCTGAAGACACCTCCTGGCAAGGGATCGCTTATTCGATATAACGCCCGTCAAAAGGGACGGCAACCTCAGGCACAGCAAGTCGCATGGGAAAAGAGCGACTATGCCGCCTACGATTCAAGCACCTCGTATGTGCCCATACGAGTGCATACACCAATGGCAATGATGCCAAACACCACCAAGCTGCACACGAACGAAACTTCGATCAATTCACAGTGTTGGGTAATCTGACCTGGCGATGAAACGATTTGATGAGGCCATGAATAACGTTTTTCATTTTCACGTGGAAGTTAATTGTCCATGACCAATGGTTAAATGGAACGACGAAACTCTTCCTATCTCTTCTCTTTTATTACTTCTTGCACACCACACCACAGCCACCACCAAAAAAAAAGGACGGATTGGGGACACAGATGGAAGGCCTTTCAAGAGGCCGGTTGGGCAAAAGTTCTTGCTTCTTAGGGGGATGATGATGATGCTTTTCCAGTCGACGGCCGCTGACGAGGTTGAGAGTGTCACCTCCTTGGAATGAGATATTTCCGAAGCAGATGAAAGACACCTGGTAATCTGAACAGCGAGCTTTGCTGGGCCAAACATTTTTTTTTTGGTGGGAAAGCAGTCAAGGCTATCATGACTACTAGCTTATTGACTTGCTAACAAAACCCGAGCAAGAGTCGTCTTCCCTCGTTTTGTAACAATTTGGGATCATTTGGGACTGCGGGTGGAGGCTATTCTAGGTGGTGTGTGAGATTCACAGAGGGTACACAAAGCATAGCTAGCTTGAAGGCATGTGAGAGTGATAATCAAAACATTGGGAGATGTCTCCTACCTGACAATTACTTGTTTACTAATATGGCCTCTGTGATCTGACTTTACACACTTGGTTCTGACTTCTGAGGCGGGTATAACGGGCGCAGACATTTCATACCCAGTTAAACCCACATCATAGACAACAACCCGTTAGTTACTCCGTAGTTCGCAAGGATAGGTACAGACTCAGTAGAGACATTGAGTAACCTAAAATGGCATCGTTGGCACTAGTTTCGAGTTTAGTGATGACAGCGCTAGCCTAAAGAAGAGACTGGCAATTAGAGATCCACAGCCACACCCACAGAGTGATTAGTTTCATGGTACGACAGCTCAGATGGTTTGCAGGCAGGCCTCGCTCAGATGTGACCTTGGTCTTGACTATGGGCCATGGCACACCAAAATCTTGCATCTGCTCAACTGCAGCAAGCTATATTGGGATTAGGGCTTGACGTGTTACACTCGTATCTTGCGCAAGTGCCGGAGGTTGATGAGACAGGTAGCCACAAAGTCAAAGAGGAATTAATTGTCGCATCACATCTGGAGGTTTTGATGCACACATATTCGTGAAGCTCGGGATATCCAGGGTCCTGCCCTGTTAGGCAATGTGTCGCAGTCGAAACAACGCGAGTCGTAATATGTGGCATCGAGGGCAAACAGGAACCACTTTCGTGTCATTGTCAGGCCGGGTTTCCCTGATCACCGTTGCATCTTCAGCGGGACTCAACTCCAGATGAGGTGCAGGCTCAGACAAGACACGGGAGTCTAGTTGGACAAGACTCAGAGTCAAGAAGCAAGCCTGTAAGCCCCCACCAGGTTTACGCTCCGCTTCCCCTCCTTGTCGGCCGAACCAAGACATCGATCCCATTCTCAATCTCCGTGGCCGTGACAGCTATCAGGCTAGATCATGTATGTGTCTCGCAGCATGGCGAGTGCGAATCACGAGCACAGCCAGAACTCTAGGGAAACAAGGCAGAATGGAAACGTAATGAGCCTGCCTGTGTGGGGAGGGGTTTGATCGAGTTTACTGGCGGACGGGTGCAAGATAGACGCCAAGCACAGAGGCTAGAGTTTTCAAGCCAAGCTAAGCATTTGTGGACAGCGATCGTCTGCACTTGGTCCTCTTTGATATGATACGGATTCTGACGCGGGGTTTTTTCTTGATATCCACTTACGGAGTACAATACATGAGATATCATGATGTGAGATGGACAACGCAAGGTACCTGATGTGATTCTGGTTAGCTGAGTCTCAGTCCGGGGGGTAGCGAGTGTAAGCCAGGCTAGACCGGGATCACCATGATGCGACTGGCTTGTCAGCTTCGCATCTGCATCCTGATTATCCTTATACCGTTCGTTGCATTATCTCTTCCTCAATCTAATAGTACGTAATGCAGGTAGTGTATAGTTGTATATGCATAGACTACCAGCTGCAACAAGAGCCAACATGTCTAATGGTGTGAGTGTCGAATATTATTGCAACCTTTGGTGCATGATGAATTACGACAGTTGTCCACCATGTATGTCGTTCATCATCACTGTCGTAATGCCATGTTGGTTCTTGTCTAGCTTTCTGCGGGCCTTGGGGCTCTGCTATTTTGGTGTGCGACCGGCATATGACCGTCATTGGACCGGCTCTGTTTGAGAAGCAATATTCTTTTACCAATAACAAGGTAAGTATTGTATCAGAACCTGTTTTCAGATGCTATTGTTGGCGTAATGTCTTGCGTGAGCCCACGAGGCCTATTAGGAGTTGCAAAGCTGCATGTCATGTTGGTTGACCCTGGAGAAACATATCCAAATGATATCCACAACGACTGATGTCTGTGACGATGTTTGACTCCAAAATCCACCTCACCAAAGGACCGATCCTGCTTGTGTCACCAACCCAACCTTTGGCAAAGGTTGCAAAACCCCCCACAACCTTGAACATTTGGTTTTGCATAACATCATCTTACATCGAATTGGATGCAGGTCCCTGGTCGTTAATCCTCCGGGAATAGTCCATCCTTTTGCAGATCTTTCGTCAGTCAGCGAGTGACCAATGCCGTTGATACAGAAGGTTTACTGGAGATTCCTCTTCTCTCGTCGTATCGCAACGCTCATAGCACAACCAGCCCCACGGGATGGGACGGATAGCCACATATCAGAAAGGTCACTGGGTAATCGACATTGCACAGGCTGAGCCTCGATCTGGCTGTCGAGTCACTGTCCCTGTTGTGTTTTATCCAGTTGCTGCGCCATGGACCCTTGCGAGTAGCCCCGTTTCCCCTCTCTTTGATGGCGAAGATATCGTCGTGGGTCTAGAGCTCGGACTTCAATCGGCAATAGCAAGGATGGCACGGGTCAATCGCGTTCGTGACGCCAAGTAAAACCCTCTGCAACGGGGGACAGGGTTTGTTGTTGATAGAGAACTATCCGTACAACGGCTATCAAAAAGTCGCATCAAGCGTTCCTGATGTTTCGGAATCGCAGTAGTATGTGGTTTGTCCTGCACAAATGATGCCCCTCTATCCTACACTGAGACCTGTCGACGTTGAACACATGTAACTCCATGAGTATGCGTACATATGCATGTCTTGGATTTTTGAGGTGCTCAGTTTATGTAGCACATGGACAAATCACATATTCTGCTCAGACGGCCCGGAACCCGATGAGGTGATTGAGATGCTGAAGTAATTACTTCGTTATCTACATCTTGCAGCAAGTGCTGGTGGCTGTAGTAGGTGAACCATGCTTGTCGAGGTCCAGCTAATTATCTCTCATAGGTATTCAGTGTGTGTTGGTGGGAGGTTTTGGTGCAAGGTCGAGATGCCTAATCGAGTGATAGCAACAAGCAATGGTCAAAGCTTCTCATGGCCGATTGCCTGATGAGGCAACTTGAGATCTCGTACCAAGCGGGATCTAGATAACTAGGTAGATACATGGTACATCCTTTCCTTCCCTGAGGTGATGTTTATTGTTTACTACTATCTTTGGGTGCGAGACAGATTGGAAGGCACTCACTCTACGAGTCTACTGTAGGGACTCAGGTCAGCCTAGGTAGGTAAGGTCTAGTACTAAGGGAGGTGCAGACCAGTTCGATTGACTCGGGAAAGTAGTTCGCAGTACGTACCTTGCCCAGGTTTGCTGTTTATTGGGCAAGGACTTCATTGATTCATCAATCTCCGTCTTCTCTTCCCGTCTCCATTCTTCATCCCTACAAGCTCAACCGTAGTCTCCTCTTCTGCTACTGTAGAGATGGCGCAAGAAAAGACCCCGGCCGAGATGGCGTCTGACGATTATCGACCCTCTTATGCAGTTCTAAGATCGACAAGTCTGTTCGCTCATCGCCCGTCAAGTGTACACCCACCACCCATCCCCATATGCTTAGCTGCAGCTCGCTATCGGCCGGAGGCGTCACATCGTCAAATACTTACCCATGACCACCACAGGACGTCTTGGTGTAAACCCTGCTGTTTTCTAAGACACCAACGCAATCAGAGCCAAGAGTTAATACTACAGATTCCGTCCCTTCCCGGAAGAAATGTCGCATAGAGACCGTGGCCGTTGCTTGTGGCTGCAGCCAAGTTGAATGTAATTATTAACTGCCGTGCATTAAAACGAAGTAGAACGAAGAAGGGTAGATATCGCTTTGTTTTGAAGCCGGCTCTGCTTGACTTCTGATCTCTTCCGGCGGCCGCAACTCGTCTATCAAGTCGTGCAGATATATGGTCTCATGCGTTAATTACTTGGCCACGACTGTCACTGGCTCACATATAACTCTGCAAATGCACTGAATTACTCGCGGTCTTTATGCACCGTTTTCACAAAGCCCACCCGAAACGGTGGGCGTAGGTGCGGCGGCTTACCATCGGTCGCTCGTCGCCCACTCTTCGGAGGTCCGCTTCAACTCGCAAAGCCGCAATAGCCGCCGGGCCGGTCCATTTCAACATGGACCCTTGACGAAACTTTATGTGTTTGCTGGTTGTGAGGGACCTCATCCACGTTTGCGTATTATCAAGATTCGATAAGTAGGTATGCGGACTGGGGTTGAGCAAGTCTTACGGCGCAGAAACTGCTAACCTAGTAGTGAAATGTTTTCTCTTTCATACACTGTTTATGCAGGTTGTTGTCTCAAAATCGACTGTTGAACATCCTAACTGCGCTACCTAAAGAACCTAGCCCAAAATACACGCGATAGATTTTAGTGCCTCGAAGAACCCTGGCAGCGTCAGGCCAGGCTAACTCGAGACACTAGGTGTGTTTGTATCATCAGCGTCCGAGCGTGCATCCTGCAGGCCATGCTTGCGTCGCGCCGGTCTTCTCCACTTACTTAACCAAGCGAAGTTGGCATTTTGAAGGGTTCGTGTCGACAACACATCGAACATTTGTGGGGGAGGGGACCACGATAGGCTGTGAGCGAGCAGGTAGCAGATAGGCACGGGCTTGTTCTTTGACCACCATCGTGATGCTAGCTCCAGATTTCATGGCTTTGATCTCTTGTCAGTGATCTTGTGGGCACATCGCGTGATGTCCGATGCAGAGACTGTCTGAGACATGTGAAGGCTGAAATCGTCCCCTCGGCCATTTTTTACATCAATAACGCCTTCTAAATAAGGTTGGTCGTCCGTGCCAAGAAACCTACTGATATATCGCGGTATCAACCGAGGCAGGGCCTTAACACGATGATGTGCATTGTCCAAACCTGGGGTAGTTGAATTATGCCTCGGGCAAGATGATGGCAAGGTCGCTATCACAAACAGATCAAGCGATGCCACGAAAGATATAACAAAGAAAAACGTGATGCAACCTAGGTCTCCTTTGTATCCTTCCGTTCGAAGACTATATATGAATTTTATTATGACTTTGCCATCTATCATGGTGACTGCCTGAGTCTGCGGCTCACAGGGACGTTTCTTGTTTATGATAGATGATTAAAAGAAAAAGGTCTAGTTTCGGCAACGCTTCAAACGTTCCCTTTACATGACATCTCTCGGAGATTTTTCGTCGATAGAGTCAGAGCTCTTATGGTGCTTAGTTCATAATCTCTCTTACACGAACGACTCGATGCTCGAATGCGCATATCTCGATGTAAGTGTCCAACCTGGAAAGGCTACAGAGCAAAACACCTAGGAGCAATGGCGGCTTGAAGACATCATATATGGGCTATGGCCTATGCAAGAAGGCTAGCATTGCCCGACGGAAGACGTATGCAACTCGAAAACAAAGGGCTGCCACTATCTAATGTAGCCCGAGACGATCAATCTCATAGTCTCTGTATTGAAGTGACCGACTCCCATTAACTTCAGTGGTTGTTGCAGAAAGGAATCGAGTGATAAAGAATGGAAATGTTATTGACTCGCTGATGACACCCAAATTACAAGAGATATTCAAAAGTTTCCTCCCATAGTCCAGCTGCCCATCAAGATTTGATGTCCAAAAAGCTCGGAACTTCTCACTTACCAATGCCCTTGATTTGTTCTCTACTTGCTTTAGACTGAGCCTCCAAGATACAGGATGTTCTGCTTGATGGACTCGGTAAGCGTGACTCGTCCTGTATAAACATGTGCAACAGTGTCCCCCCAGGCATGAGGATGTGGGAGAGGGAGCTCAACTGTGTCGCCAGGATGAACGTGCTCTGAAAGAATGACCGCAGCCAGAACGGGAAGGTATGTTCGAGCATAGCTGAGCCCTGGGAAGAATTAGACTTGGTTTGCGGAGTCGCGATTGTGAGGTGAAAGATTCAGGTACTTACGTATGGGGACAGAACCGTAACCTTGGCGGGAGCCTCTGCGCTCAAAAGCCGGCGAGGGCTTTGCATCTACTCGAGGAAGAACTCCGTGGGAATGACGCCTCTCATGAGAGACTCCAGGGAATGACGCTCGGGAGCTGACAGAAGGAGGTTGAAGAGTGACAACTGATGCACGCCTATTCTCCTGATGTCGTTCAACGGGGCTCATAACTGGAAGTGTAGCTCGTAACTCGTCCAAGTCGAAGGTTCTGGAGAGTATAATTGACTTCCGACCACGCGAATGAACAGCCACACGGGTAGTCAAACGTCTCTCCGAAGGATACGGCGAAGACGCTTCTGCATCACTCGAAGATAACTGAGACAAGCGACGAAGCTCAACAGGTAGCACAAATATCTCAGGCTCACGAGCTCTGTGTGAAGCTGCGATCCATCGACGACGATGATGCTCTCTTTGTCGAGCAAGGTGCATGGCTCTGGCGTGAAAAGGACCCCCTGGGGCAGATTGTCGGCGCTCATAGTCGACATGAGGGGATTCACCACCCCGCTCCGCATCTGACTCCTGAAGCAGCATGCTTCTTGTTTCATCTGCTAGAGTAGGTCTTTGGAATACGGGAGGAGCCAAGAGTGGCGCAGAAAGGGGAGAGGGTCGGGAGCCTGGGCTATGGAGAGTAAGAGGTGCAACCGGTCTCAAGGAGACATTGCGTAGACCGGACTCAAGCTTGGGAAGATCACGCTTTCGGGGTTCAAATTGATCAACTTTTGTGTCATCATCATGCTTCGTATCATCATCTTCGGGCTCTCTAAGTTGTGGAAGAGGTCGGCTGTGTGGTGATAGGGGTGAAGGGGTCCATGACGGGCTCTTCTGAATGATACGGGATCTTAAAGACCGGACGTTGAGACCAGGGCCCGAAGTCTTGATAGGTTCTATGGGTGGTCGAGTTCTGGCTTCGGAGGCGACTGTGGTCATATTTGATATAACGAAGAAGGAGTTTCACGGAGATATTGGAGGAGTTATGAGTAGGCAGATAAGGATGAGACACAAACAAGCAGTTTGACACTGCTGGTTCTGGAAGATGGGAGATTGAAGTGTTATGAGGAACAAGGGATAGCCCTCACTCCCATGGCAGGATGATAAATGTTTTATTATTGGAATAAAATGGCGTCCGATCTTAATGAAAGGATGACATATGCGCTGCTCATATGCCCCAACATGCTCCGACTTCAGAGATTTCAACACAAAGGAGTTAGCCATATGGCTTTGGCGTAAATCTTTGACGAAATGAAAGCGTGTGCTTGCTAAGGCAAAGAACAAAGAAATGCGGCTTGCTCTAGGCAATGGATGCCGACATGATGGGTCTGCGTCCGCGGGACAGAGCCCGGTTTTGGTTGGCCTCCCCGGCCCAGCGGCCTGAATGAGGCGCTGAGGAAAGTCTGACCTGTTGAATATCGCAAGGTCACAGTGTTTGTTGGTGTGAGGTTGAAGATGGAAGACTAATACTGTGTAGAAGGCGTCTGACGTTGGTGGTGAGGATACACGTGACAGGGTGTCCTGTCTCGGGCGCAACGTCTCATTGGCTGATAGGTCAACGCTCCCTCTCCCGTAGCCTCGGGCCCCTCCATCTCAATATCCTACGACAGCTTTACTTACACGTTACAACGTGGTAACTTCAAGGCTGACTTTAACATTACTTGCCAACTTTTACAGATCTACTGCCTCCACCGTTTCTTTGTGCCCGAACCTCTACACTCTCCTAAATTATGCGCTGAGGCTTGCCGTCATTTGCCGCTGGCCATGTCTGAACCCGGGAGCTACAAGCAACGAAAGGAGGACTTTGTGTCCAATCTCTCTGGCGGCTCTGTCGCAGAAATCAATTATGTTACATCCGTTGCGGCTGTTGGTACCCCCATTCCACCTGCTCATACCATGCTGTGTATGAATAGTTGCTAAGTTCGAATTGTCACAGGTAGCAATTATTCTGTGGTCTGTCCTCCAAGCCCGCCAGTCTTTCTTCGAACCGTATACGGTACTCGCATTCGCTGTTGATTTCCTTCTCAACGTTGGAGCCATTCTCCTTTCAATAACTCTCTATTCAAAATCACCGCTTCTTCTGAACCTTCTTCTCATTACGCCTGCGATTTTCATCTTCGTCCTCCCACCTCAATCTGCAAGTCGAAAGAAGAAGCTCAAGGTCCCCCCAAATGCGCGGTCCAAGGAAAACTCCGGGCAGCTTGATGTCTTATCAACAAAGCCTTTCCTCACAAACTTTCGCGGTTGCATGATGATTGTCACCTGTGTGGCCATTCTTGCTGTCGATTTCCGCTTGTTCCCTAGACGGTTTGCTAAGGTTGAGACATGGGGTACTTCTCTGATGGACTTAGGTGTTGGATCCTTTGTCTTCTCAGCCGGCCTTGTTGCAGCTCGTCCTGTACTGCGCGAGAAAGTGATAGGTCGCACAACAGGCCGGGCAACACCCCTTTCCCACCGGATCGTGCATTCGCTGCGCCATTCTATTCCACTACTAGTGTTAGGGTTGATACGTTTCCTGAGCGTTAAGGGTTTGGACTACGCCGAACATGTGACAGAATATGGCGTTCACTGGAACTTCTTCTTCACGCTTGGGTTTCTGCCCCCTTTTGTTGCCATCTTTCAGTCAGCTCTGAAATGGATTCCTTCATTTGCAGCCCTGTCGTTGTTGGTGGGCGTCACATATCAAATTCTGCTTGAAACCACTAGTCTGAAGGCGTATGTCTTGACGGCGCCCAGGACCGACCTAATCAGCATGAACCGGGAAGGCATTTTCAGCTTCATTGGATACCTGGCAATTTTCCTTGCTGGGCAAGATACGGGCATGTTTGTCATTCCCCGTAACATCCCTCCTAAGAGTACCGCCAGCCCCGGGGCCCAGAGGAACACCCTTCTGATGACTATGGCTGTTTGGGGTGGTGTCTGGACTGGACTCTATTTGCTCTCCACGAATTATCACTATGGTTTTGGCTTGGCAGTATCCCGTCGCATGGCAAATTTACCCTATGTTTTGTGGGTTGTTGCCTTCAACACCTTGCAATTGTTGGGTTTTGCGGTTATTGACACGATATTCTTCCCTACCTTCTATAATGCACAAGACGCAAAGACAGAGAAGGAGGCTTATATGCAAGCCACCAGCCGTGTAATCCGAGCATACAACCGTAACGGATTGGCCATCTTCTTGTTGGCAAACTTGTTGACTGGCTTGGTCAATATGACAGTCAACACGCTGGATGCTACTCCCGTACTGACAATGGGAATATTAGTTGCATATACCGCAACTATCACAGGGGTCGCAGTGGCATTAGATGCTTATAATATCAGCATTAAGCTTTAAACATCGCATCTGGCATTTCGATCTCACATATCTAGCGCAGCATTTCGTCAGCCTTGTGGCCATTATAGAGTTTACTTAATAGAACGTGATAAAAATACGCAGATAATAAGTTGAACTTATGTTGGCTCCATTGGTACACGTCGATTCAAATGCTAGAATTTGACTTGACCACACTGGACGGCCGCTTCAATTCACAAACTTCCAGTGGTTCATGGTTAGCAAAATTTTAAGCATTACGCATGACTTTCTAATACATTCAGAGGTGAGTTGCAGCAGGTTTGCATACCGTGTTGTTTCTCGTATATCTATGCAGAAATAAGACAAGGACAGAGAAGTTGTATTCCTGCTAGATAGCATAAGGTAAGTTCATGCTTCTTGAACGAACTTCAAAAGGACACTCCTCTTTTGATACTTCAAGACAGTAGGAAGGGCTGTTCTATCGTAAAGGGAAGGTCTCTCACTTCATGATGAATCCAAGCAAGCTTGCTTGAAGCTCAGGGTAACTTGGGAACATATGCGACTATCACTATAGCTCATCGCATGAGCGAAACTAGCCATAACTGCTATGTGGGCATGAATTTACCACGAGTATCGCATCAAAGATCAAGAGTGACATCGAGACCGTAGATCGAGAGGGGAATCCAGGCCATGACTAGGATCAAGTCATGCGTTAGAGATGAAATGTCGAGT